TGATGTGCCGATTTGCTTCGGTTATCATTTTGAGTTGATCGTTTAAACTGATGATAGTCTCTCTAAGGGTTGCCGGTCTTCGGAGGCAAATTCACTCTGTTTGGATTCCGCAAACTAGTCATGCACTGTACGTTCCTCTAGGGCATGGTCTACTCAAACGTCATATATCTTTCATGCGGCTTGAGCCGCATTCTAGGCCTTGCGTTAGAAGAAACACTTCAGATGTCGAAAATGCGCGCAGTGGTTCTTCATTTTCATACGAGTCCTGTACAGAGAAACTTCGACAAATGTTGACAGATTCCAAAAGGAATATAGAGGAGGAACTACTCTTTCAGAAAACATATAACTTTATTAGGTTGGATCCTTGAACTTTTGTACAACGGTTGATAAATCCGGGGTGTCAAAAATCGGCGGGAACTTTTCGGACAACCCAATACCTTTAGCTTTGTGAGTTTTTCATCAAGATTGAAAAACGAGACTGACAAGTAAGTCCAAACAGAAATTGACTATAAGTCTCGAATTTTTTATCGTTGATAAAATGCGAAATTCGCTTTGTTTTGGTACCCATACTGAGTTAATCTTTGGTTCACCTCGCTGCGTAATGCGAGCTTTTCATTCGGTGATGGAAGCTTACGTTGTCTCAACGAAACCTAATTACGCCTCTCCTAAGATGGCATTCTCGGCATTCATGCTTGTTCCGAGAAGTATTTCTTGTGAATTGACAATACCCCGTGCTTCTCAATTCCTCGTTAGTTATTCAAAGCATTTCCAATAGAACAGTATCGAAGGCCATATTCCATAAGCGAATTAGGACACAGAAAGGGGTATTTCCTGATTTGGGATGTTAGGTGCGGTTGCGGGTATCCTCCCGATGGCCTCGTCTGCGTCGACCAGTCATCGTAATCGTGTGGGGACCCTGAATCTTCGAATCTTTGGCTCCGTCCGACACCACAGGCGGCCACAACGATGCCAACCGGTCCATTCCAGATTCGAACTCACAGCAAATTAGCTGGGACGCCAAGTCATGCTCTGTTCGAAAAGGGGGAAATTTCAACACGAAGAGTCCCTAGCCTATTCTTATGAGCTCGAAATGTTAAGATTCGGAGTATCACAGAAACTACCATTAGGTCCCATTAGTGACATTTCCACTTCAGAAGTAGCCCGTTTATTTCGAGATTGGACCATTACTTTCGCTTCCCCACGCTTCCTCCTTTCATAGAGAAGATCTACAGAATTTTTCTCAACATGAACATTCCTTCCATTTGAACAACAGAGGAGTGCGAAACGGTGAAAACTCTTGGGACCCGATTTTACGTGAGTCTACGAAAAAATGCCCGGTGTGGAGTAACATGGGTACACCTCCACTTACACATCAACGATTCGCACTGTTGTTGACTCAAGTAAAAGTATACGGGCAAGGAAGCTTCCTTCCGCTTCCACATCCTATATGAAGAAGAATCTACCACTTCCAACAGAAAAGGAGGAAACTAAGAAAAATTTAAAAACAATCCGTTGAGTCTCAGCCACCTTCAACGACAATATCCGTGAAAAGAATAAGGACAAAGGAAAGATGTGACACTTATTAAGGATGAGGTCTCAACTTCGCAGAACGCTAGAGCTGTTGGTCCCAACGCGATTAGCATAGGCCGTCATGGGCGGTGGTCATGACTCTGCTTCCTTACCTTATCTTTCTGACCAAACAGGTCCCTAACTGATTTATGGCATACTTCTTGGAAAAGGGGCAAGCTCCAGAAGAATTTAAAAAGCAACTTTGTCAAAGTAAGACATAATTCAGTTAATCAGTAAGAATTTGACTTTCTTCATAGAAAGGTTAATTAACTGGCAACTTTGAAGTTTTTTTTCCAAAACTTCAAGATCCAGAAGCTCTGTTCCCTATTGAATGCGTTGTTCGAACGACATGGAGGGCTGGCCTCATCGAATCGCCCATGTTACGAAGGCGTTGTCGAAGATTAGTGAGAGGATGAGTCAGCGTCTTCCTGCTCTACGCTTTAATCCCTCCTCCAAACGAGACGACATGTCTCCAGGGAGCTACCAAATTAGCTGCATATCATGAATTTGCAACGGACGTTTTTTTCCAAGTGCATTACCCTTAACTATGGGGCGTTGCATGGTGCCAGCGGAGTGGATGATGGCTAGTGACCACCACAGTGCTAGCATAACCCTTCTGGAGTATTTATCTACTAGGCATTTTTCGGGCCC